CATCGGCCGGGCCGTGCGTTCCTCCACATGTCTCCGTCGCTTCCTTCTTTTATGTACGTCTCTCTCCTTTAGGACGCAGACTCTCGGTTAGAGTCCAACTGTACGTCGCCTCACCTCTCCCTCTTATTCCTCCCATAAATATTGGTTGGATCCCATGGAGGCAAAAGAGTTGTAGACAGAGCTACTGGACGAGAATAAGGCGGCTGCTAGGCGTCATCCGCCTGTTAATATCACAGTTAGCATCCCGCAAAACAGCCGTTGGATTTTATTATGCGCGAGCGTCGGATTTAAGCCACGTGTACACCATCCCGACCAGTTCCTGTTGTCGTTACCCGTGTTGCTGCAACCGTTTCGTGGAAGCATAATCCCCACCTTCTCTGTAGCTCCTCTGCGCCCGTCCGACGCCAGGGCGAGGAGGAGATCCACGCCGCCGACGCCGCGTCGCCTCTACCACAGCTGCCGCCAATGCAGCGTCGACTCTGCCACCGCCGCAAACGACGCCGCATGCCTCTACCTCGCCGCCGTCGAGGGAGCAACGCCCCTGTTCACCTTCCAGCGCCATGGCAGCTCACCACATAGTTCGATCTATGTTGTCGGCCGCCATGGATCGAAGCTCCGGTGCTCCATCGAGCAGCAGGAAGGCCAGATCGGCCCCGATTCTCGACGGCGAGCCGATTCGCCGGAGTGGAGCTGCAAGGGAGCTCCGTGATCCTCCTGTCTTCTCTGTTGAAGCCTCCCGGGCAAGCTCCTCACAAAGTTCGGTAAGTTTCAAGCTCATCACATGCATGAAGAATTCAGGTTGTTTTGACTTCTGCTATGTCAACTGAAAAAAGGCAGTATGAATTGCAGCATATCTCCTTATGCCAACTGAAAAATTCCTTAAAGTGTGGACAGAAAAAACTCCTCCCAATTTCAGTTTAGAAATGCTCCAAACAAAATGTGCTGGGGGAGGTAGTCTGAAAAAATGCTCCTTACACTTTCAGTTTAGAAAATGCACCAAATAAAAATGCGCAGGAGGAAGTCAATTCATGACTGTGTATAATTTGCTACTTGCAAAATTCAGTTTAATATTTGCAAAAACAAAAATGCTGGGTGGGGGTTATCTGTATGTTGTGAAAATTATATAGCACCGGTGCTATTTTGACTATGTTGCATCGTTTTAAACAGCGATCATGCTGGATAAAAGTTCCTTTACTAGATTTTTTTTTAAATAGAAATGTTGCATCAGGTAGGAAAAAGCTAAATTGTATTACAAAAAATTTATCAACTTGATTACTTTGCTTGTAGCACTGTGATCATTGAAGTAGAAAAGATGTGAAAGCATTTTGTTTAGTAACATGAGGTGAAAACATGGAAACATGAACACAAAAATCGGATGTAATACATCTTTTATGCTAGAAGCACTACTTTCTTGCATATTATACCTTTTTACCTTTTTTACTACATTGTGATAACTTTTTTCTGCAACAACAAAAATAGGATGCTGGTGCTGGAGGTGATGATGATGAGAGCTACGTTGTGGGGCGAATTTCTGCTGCAAATGGAGTTAGTATGGAAGGGATGATTAATGCTGGTGATATCCAACAGGATGTGGATGATGCAGATGATGATGCAATATCATCGCAACCACTTGTTCCATATGTGGGCATGACCTTTGATTCAGTTGACGATGCAAGGAAATTCTACAACACATATGCTTTCGGGCATGGGTTTGGAATCAGAACATCTGCTTCAAAAAACAGCCAGGCCAGAGGATCCACAAAGCTAATTAGTAGGACTTTCACGTGTGTTCATGCACGAACTGATGGAAGCAAAAGTGAATCTGATAGCACTACAGAGAGTATTGCAACAGAGTCAAGCAACACTGGCAAACGCCCTGGACTTTGGATGAACATGGCAGACACAAGAAAAAGGAATAGGTTGCAACGTCATGATTGCAAGGCTCACATGATAGTTGGACTCCGAGATAACCGATGAACCGTCACGTGCTTTACAGACGACCATACACATGCTCTGGTGCAACAGGAAGAGAAGGTTAGGTTTTATCGGTCTCATCGAAAAATCCCACAAGAAGACCTCCAAATGATAAGGACGTTGCATGAACGCAACTTGTCAACCTCGGATTGCATGGGAATCCTTGGAGATTGTCACGGAGGTGATCAGAGGCGCCTTGGTTATGTCAAAAGGGATGTTTCAAATGCACGGTCCGAAATGCGGCAAACCATGGCGTTTCAGCACATGGCCATGACAATTGAATACTTTGAGAGGCGGCAAGCTGAAAGCCCACAGTTCTTCTATGCAACACAAGTGAATAAGGAGACAAATGAGGTAGAAGCATTGTTTTGGGTGGATGGAAGGACAAGAGCACTATACCCCAAGTACAAGGATTGTGTCTTTTTCGATACAACCTTTTGCACAAACAAATATAATATGCCTTTTGCTCCGATCGTAGGCATCGACAACCATCTTCAGACTATTGTCCTAGGCTGTGCATTGCTTCCAAATGAGCAAACTGAAACCTTCAAGTGGGTCTTTCGGCAATGGTTGCTTGCGATGAACAATGAGTACCCAACAAACCTTATGACCGACCAGTGCAGAGCAATGGAAACTGCAATTTCTGATGTGTTCCCTCACACAATCCATAGATGTTGCAGGTGGCATGTACAGCGGAAGGCGCGTGAGAAACTTGGGAGGATGCTTACAAGGGATTCAATTTTTGAGAAAGCTTTCTATGAATGCATCAATGAATCTGAGACAGTGGATGAATTTGAAGAAACATGGCAACACATGTTGCATTGCTTCGAATACACGGAGAATAGGCACTTACAAAACATGTGGGAATGCCGTCAGACATGGGCTCCTGCATACTTCAAAAATGATTTCTTCCCTTTCATAAGCACAACCGGGAGATCAGAAGGGCTGAATTCTTATTTCAAAACGTTGGTGCATCCACAAAACTCGGTTTTCACATTTGTAAGGCAGTATGAACTCCTACAAGAAACAATGCTAGACCGTGAAGATAATGCTGCTTTCACTAGAGAAACGACAACAGCACCCCTATGGGGTCGATACAGAATAGAGCGCCAAGCTGTTAACTTCTACACACGCAGCATCTTTGGCAAGTTCCAAGAGCAAGTGGCAGCATCAACATCTTATATAATCAACCAAGTGCCTAATCTTGAGCAGGAAGGTATCATGTTTGAGCTTTACTCAAACTTGTATGATAATCCAAAGTTGTACCATGTGCATGCTATGATAGAAGAGGGGCTGTACTCATGTAGCTGCCATTACTTTGAGATGAATGGTGTGCTTTGCTCACACATCATAAGGGTGATGATACAGCTAAATGTGCAAGAAATTCCAAGTAGATACATGCTGGAAAGGTGGTCCGAAGCAGCTACGACAAACATGGACACATCTGGGAGGTTCCTTGAGTTTGGACTACCAGAAACAAACACTCTCAAGTACAACTCACTGTGTAGAGACATGAATGCATTGGCAGCAGAAGCATGCTCTGTTGATCCAGCTTACAACTTACTGACAGATGTGATGAAGCAGCTCTGGCCCATAGTTGCTTCAATGAAAAAAGAGCAAATGGCAAGGAAAGATGTGGTGCAGCAGCAACAACCCCCTCGAGCAGGTGAATCTAATGATGAAACTGGAGCAAACCCACAACCATCAGCACCGCTACAAAATCCTGCTCGTGTGCCGAAGCAAGGTCGACCAACAGAACGAGCAAAAAGAAAAAAGACATTGTTGGAGCAGCGAGAAGAGGAGCATAAGAAGAAGCTTCAGAAAGAAGCCAAGAAAGAAAGCAAAAAAGCATCCAAGAAAGAAAGCAAGAAAGAAGACAACATGGAGTCATCGAGCAAGCCAAAACCTAGGAGGAAAGTTACTTGTTCATTTTGCAGTGAAGAAGAACACACTATCAAAACCTGTGAGTCATTCCGTGAGTACAAGGCAATGATGGCTACTAATCTTACAAAAAATGTCAGTTTTGCTCCGAGGAAGGCCACACAATGCAATCATGCATTCACTTTAAAGCTGCGATGGCAAAAGTCGAGGGACATGCTCAACAGGGTCATCTGTAGTTGAATTTCATGTATTAGCAATTTTAAAAGTGTAGTTTCGAAAGTAGCACATATTTGTATTGGGTAGAAGTACTGAAAAATTATGTGCACTTTGTCAGAGGTTTTGGTTCATATTACTGCTCATGTTGCTGCTCATATTGCTCGTGTTACTACTTATGTTACTTCTCAAAAAACCATGTATGTTCAAAAAGTTCATATTGCTGCTACAAAAAAAGGTGACGGCGAAAAAATTATGAAGCATTCTTACTGTGTTTTGTGGTGAGTTGAGAAGGATCTATTTTAAATAATGTTACATAATTCTTAGTTATTAAATAAAAATGAGTTTCTCAACATGTGTTGATTCTCTCAAAATAATTTCAAGTAAATTTTTTTGAGAATGCTTCTAACGCTCACTGCTTAGTTGCAAAATCTCCCAGAATGCTTCTTCCAGCAACATTTATCACAAAAAGCTGTTGCTTCAAAAAAAGAAATTGTACAAAAAATGTTTCATGAACATGCTTCCTCTAGCCATTCCGATTCCTTAACATTGTGGCTGATTTTGTGACAACATAAGGAAGCACATGGTAGAAAAACACACATGAAAACCCAAAAAAATGAAAAGCATTCCATGAACTTGTAAAACTTGAGCACCAAACAGCGAAAAAATTATAACTTGCTTACAAATTCACCACATAGTTATAGCTTCCATCAAATCTCGAAACAAAAAAAATATGTTTCCTTACTACAAACTACTGATAATTATTCCAGCCATCCAAAAGAGCCCAACATCTGGTTTCATTACATGGAGTCTCATTTGGCACACAAAGATAACAGAGATGCACTACTAGCGAAATGAATTGCCCAAAATTGCAAAGTTGCATCTTCAAGGCCGCTGCAAACGCCTTCTACAATGCGATGTGGTCACTTCCTTCAAGCCGCTATGATCGCCTTATGCACATCAGCAGGGAAGACCTTGTTCAAAGGATGGAAAAACAGCTTCGAAGCAATGGTCTTCCGCACATCAAGCATATTTTGCTGCATTAAAAAGGTGAAAAAATGGAGAAAGAATAAACCAAACATTATCAGAGACGCAAACTTATGAAAAAGTACCAAAAAAGCAAGATCATCAAATTTTTACCTTCTTGAAATCTTTCATCATTTGGCCATCAAAATTTTCAAGGTACATTGTTGAAAACAATCCACAATCAAAGCTGTTTTCATTGCACCATACATAAAAAAAATTGGGTTGAGAAAAAGGTTTAAGGTTTTACATAAAAAGGACATCGAAAAACACTACTTTTATGGATGGGGTGTATGATTAGACTTACTGAGTTGATTGTTGTGGGTAGTCAAGCACGGGCCAGTCTGTTTTGAAAGAAGATAGATCCACTGTGAAATCCGACTCTTCGGTAGCAATCCTCTTGAAATTGATAAACTGCAGAAATATGAAACATTAGCATAAAAAAAGTAGTGGCTATGTCAAACACGAAAAGTGATGGGGGGGGGGAATGCTACCACCACTAAAACATGAGACACATTCAGATTCACTCCCAACAAAAAATTGAGCATGTGTTCATTGGGGGATCTGCTTTTTTCATTTTAATAAACAAATGAAAACTACACATAGAAAAATATAAAAAGTGTTACTTGCCAGATTCCTTGCAGCAACGTCCAATTTCCCGTCATCCAAAGAGTCAAACATATTGAACTCCTTGTGCAAGAGGTTAACCACACAGACAATCCAGTGGCCATCACGGACGATGGTGAAGAAAAGCTAGAAAAGAAGTAAAGACAAGATATATGTTAAAATGGAATAAACTATAGGGAGCATAGAAAAATTGAGTAAAAAAATGTTGGGAGCAGACTTACTAGGTCGAAACCTGAAATCTGAAAATTTTGGCACGCCTTCCTCAGCTCTCTTGCACAAACACTCGGATCAAAAACTTCTGGGTGGACAGAGAGTTGAAGCTGCAACACATTGGACATAAGGAGAAGACATGAGAAAAAATGATGGATAACTTCTGCAAATAGGGCATAAAACTCTAGAAAACTGATGGCAATAAAACGGAGCAACAATAGATGAACTAACACTCATTAAAACAGAGAAAGCAAATTTCTTCTGCTTCTTTGAAGACGACAATTGTTCAATGTTGAAGGTTTCGATGAATAAAGACATGACTTCGTTGCAAATCTGAGCACGTGGCTTCAACGACTTCTGGAAGTTGGGGTAGGTAATGTGGAAATCACCAATCCTAATGAAAGGAGGCCTGCAACAAGAAGGATGGAGCACAAAAAATTAGAGTGGAGCGTTTTGACAAAGGCGAAAATGTAATAAATATGAGATAACAACATGATGGAAGCAAAAATCAGTAAAAAGATGACACTTACTCAATTTCCCCTCTCTTCATCTTCTTCATCTTGTACCTCTTCATGACATAGTACTGGTACATTGCTTCCATCTTTGAATCTGTCTTGATTTTCTTGTACTTTGATCCGGCTGACATTGGACTCCCTACTCTTTTCTTGCTATTGAGCTTATTCTCGTCCTTACTCTTCAACTTCTCCTTGTTGAGGTCCGGACTTGGTTCCCTGCTGCTAACTAGAACAACTGGCTCTTCTTGTGTTTTCAATGGTCCATCTTACAAAAACAAAGGAAAAATTGATTTTCTAGAAAAATGTTGCGAGCAGAGATTTGTTCAAAAACAAACTAGTAGTAGGGCATACCTGCATCCCCGCTCGAGAATGGAGCCATGGAGATTGGTGTCACATCAAACACTGGAGCTTGTGCTTCTGTTGAGATTGGAGCCCGAGGAGTCACATCAAAAATAGGACAAGACTTTGGTGTTGTAGCAGTGTTTCCATTGCCATTGGGTGGAGCATTGGAGTTCCCATCTTGACTTTGGACACTAATCCACCAATCATACTCCTCGGTGCCCTCTTGGAACAGACACATCGATGGCGCATCACTCCAATCTCCAGCCACAGTAGTATGTATGTATTGATTGCGCTGGCTGAGTTGGTGACCATGCTCAATATCTTCACAACTAGCCACTTTATCCTTTGCATTCTCAAAACACTCTGCAGGGGGTCAATAACAACAGGACTAGTTCGTGTGCCCTTCTCAACCACATTGCTGCCATTACACTCATGAGCATTGTTGCTTGCATGATTGCTTCGAGCTCCTTCAGCAGACTCAACCACCTTGTGTGTTGTTGGCTCATCTGCAGCCTTCCTGCTAGAAGTTTCTTTGGTACATCCATGATGATCTGTCTTGTCTACATCATTGCTGCGAGGGGGTGGCACATGAAAACTAACATCCGCTGCTTCCTGAGAGCTTGGCGAAGCAGCGTGCACATCTTTGAGTAGGTGCCCCATTCGCTTGCAATGCATTGCTTGCAACACTTGCCCAAAAGAGATTAGAGCACCTTTTAACTCCGAAGAAAAAAGTTTTGTGTGCTTGTCGTAGATTGCAGCCAGATTTGATGGTAGCTGACAAAATGTATAGAAAAAAATTGTCATCGGTATGGAAGCAACATATAATAGAACTAGAAAAAAGAAAAAAGCGATATAAAGGTATTTAAAAAAATTAAAAAACAGAAAAATAAATACATAAAAAACCTCACCTCGAGCTCTGCCCCAAATGGTGTTGGGTTCTGAAGCCAATCATCTAGTGAACCACACACATCTCCATCGGTGCTTTTGCCATCTTCATTTGGATTGCTACCTTCTGTAGGATTCTGTTTCGCAGCCATGTCATCTTAGTTATCATCAATGTTGATATTTTCATCCCCACGATCTTGAGTATCATTGCAATCTGGGTTGTCCGAAACATGCTGATCTTGAGCAACTTCACTGTTGTTGCCTTCATGTCCTTGGGCAAGCAATGCTGCATAAGGTGTCTCTGACAAAGGGCGAAACTACATGACACAAAGTAAAAAGAAACAAGTATTAAAACCATGAGTACACAAGCATAAAATAAAAAAGGGCAGATAAAAATGGGAAAGAAACAATACTGCAAAGATGGATAAGGAGAGTAAAACCAAACAAAAAACTTACCCGACACTTCCCGAATGATGGTTTGCCCAAAGAAAGCTTGTTCCTATCATATTCCAACACAATATCAAAATCAGTCTGATGTACGAAGCAAGCCCTTGGGAGAGAATAGTTCAATTGGTGCTCGTTGATGGCAGCTTGAGGAAATATCAAATGGTCCATGTAAATAACCTGAATAGGAAGACAAGACATAATATATCAGACACAAAAAAGAAAAAAAATGTGATTTTAAAAAACACAAACATGTTGTGATATATAGAAAAATTCCAAAAAAGAAAGAATTGTACAGCAAGCATAGGGAAGCATCCCCCAACCCAGAATGAAGTAGAAGCATGTTTTTTAATCTTGTCCTGACACTTCTTGACCTGTCTCATTGCAACACTTAAAACATGCTCATCCCAAGCAAAATCAGTGACCTTGTCCATATCTTCGAGGCTTTTCAAGTACTCTAGGGGCACCATGTTGCCAGTGCTTGGAGTTAAAACTGTTGCAAGCGCTAAGAGCACCCATGACCTCTTTGTAGTATTTCCATCATGGTCCCCTGCCCGATGAAGCACATCCACTGTATGCGCAATTGGAGCCCTGCCATTCTTGTGATAAATGTTGCGGAGCTCGCAATGATGGTGTCTCTTGAAAAGCTCAACTGGTCTGTTGCCTGATGGGATGTTGAAAACCTTCTTCACCATGTCTCTAGTGAACACAATGACCTTATTCCGACTCAGCCTGAAAACCCCCCAAAAAATATTGTATTAATTCCTTGCTATCAACATGGCCTAAAGAGAAAGACAGAAAGTATATGATGCAGGGGAAAAAGGAAGAAAAGAAAAAGGGTGGGTGCAATACCTCAGCTCACGAGTGTCAGTGTCGATATTCATAGTTATCCACTCCATCAGATCGTGTGGTATTGTGAAAGGGGAGATGCTCGTGAGATCACCAAAGCCAGTTTCATTTATGTATTCCCTCTTCCTATCATTGAGCTTTGTATTCGCAACTTCACGCAAGCGTTTTGCTGCAAAGCGTTGACTGAATGCAGTATCAGACTCCATTACTTCTTCCTCCGACATGAAACTGCAAAAATCAAAATGAATAAAAAATGTAGTGGGGTACAAAAAACATTACATAATTACTACAGAAGCGACGGTCATTCAGATTTTAGCATGCTCGACATCTACCAAAAATCATAACAATGAAACAAAAACAAAAAAGTACCATATGTTCAAAAAGTTATTAAACTGAGCTGGTTTTGCAGCATAAGTGATGGTCGTCGCGGCATAGTCTATAAGTGATGTGTCTCTAGCTAGTTAAGTTTTCCTGATGCAGTAGATTTGGCTTTGTAGATCAAGTATCTAATATCACACACTGTAGTTTGTATTTTCCTAACTAATGGGAAGAGAGTTATCAATGTGAGAAGGAAGCATCTCCACCCGAAAAAGCAGAGTAAGGCAGTCTAGCTCTGGTTCAAAAACAGTCGACCAGAGCAAGTAAAAGCTGCAGGCAAGTAAAGTCAGAGCAAAAAAGCAAAGGAACCACACTTATAGCATGTATCTATACATCAATTCCAAAAACACTGACTTTCATTCTAAGAAAACCCCCTAGGCTAAACAACAAATGTAGCATAAAACTTGCCTGACCACATAGCAGCATAAAAACCTATGCAACATAAAAAACATTCCTGACCAGATAGCAGCATAAACACCTACCCAAACATAAAAACTTGCCCTGACCAGATAGCAAGCATGAACACCTATGCAACCATACAAACTTGCCCCGATAAGATAGCAGCATTGCAAAAATGTAACATCACTGACAAACCTAGTCATCCACTCTCTGAAAATCTTGTCCCCTATCCTTAAAGTCTCAACTACAAACATTTCCAAACCCTATCTACAACATGGAACGATCAACACACCAACCCCTAGGTGAAATGGGGGTGAATTTGGCGACATAGAGGGAGTAACTGCTCAATTGAAACCCCTGAACGAACAAAACTCATGAAATTCGACCCGGATCTACTCATCCAACACTGTGAACTACTGGGATTAATCGCGAAATGAATCACTAAAAGGAGATCAAGCAGCGCGGGGAGAAAATTGCTACGAACCGTAGGACACCATACCTCTCGTCCGCCGCCGCAACTAGAGGGGGGTCATGTAGCTTGGCGCCGTCGCCGACGATGCTCGCCGCCGCCTGAACCTCCGGTTCCCTTGCCGTCCCCGCAGCATCCAGTTCCCCTGCCGCCGCCAGGATTCTGGATCTAGCAGTCGCCTGCGTCGTCGCCCGAGCTAGAGAGAGGATGGGGATCGCAAAACGATGGAAGCAGGAAGGGAGGGCGAGCTAGTGGGGGGTCGAAGCAAAAAAAAAACACCTGGGACACGTGCTTCAACGTCCCTGGTAGTAACGCCCCTCCACCGTCTGATGCCGCGTGATCCAACGGCTCGCGAGACGGTCGCTCGGATGGCTGCGTGCATCCGGCTGTTTTAGAGCGTTTTCCCGAGAATAGCGCCCAGATCTGCCTCTAGGATCCGAACATTGCCGCCACCAAAAATCCCACAAAGGACGGCAATGAGATCTCCCTCGCTTTCTCCTCCATCTAATGGTTCGCACACGTTCCACAGTGGGCTCGTGGCCTCACCGGTGGCGACCTTCTGACAGTGGAGGCGGGCAGCGCCGGCTTGGCTGAGGTAGAGCGCTGGCTCGCGTTTCGCTTCGAAGCCATCAACGCAAGCGCCGCACACTGCAGGCCGCGCTGAACTGGGCTGACTCGCTCTGCCGCCGTGAGCTTTCCATATCGCGATCTCGAGCAGCTCGACTTCCTTGCTGCCGCGGGCTCCGGTGACGAGTCTAGGACGCCGCAAGCATCACCGAGAGCCTGAGGACGCTCTATGCCAGGATGGACTCTGCGACATACTTCAGATTCGTTGCTGCATGGCACAAGAGGCAGACGCCGCCGACACTCAGTTGTTGCATGGATTCGGCTAAGTCCATCATGAACGCAATCGCCGACGTGTTTCTGATGGACCGATAGGAGGTGAAGAACCCGCGGACTTGACCTGGGCATGTATGCTCATCCTAGAGGTAGCCGTGCAGGCGCTTGACGGCCTGGACCCAGAGATCGGGGTGACACGACCCTTGCCGCGGGGCACGGCGAGAGAGTTGAAGGAGGCGGTGGAGCTGAAGGGTGCAGATGCATCCAAGCCCACTCGCGTGCTCCCCTACAAAACGTAGGGCGATCTCCCTCATGCGATCTCTAGCCACTACTCAAAGAAAATCAGCGACCTACTCGCCAACCTAGCCAAGGTCACTGCTTCGTTGCTTCCTCGCCATGGTTTTGTACTTTTGTTGCTTGTGCTACTCAACGCCGATGGGGATGATGGGTTGTTCGTGCGAAAGCTGTGAGCCTCTCTACCGTGCCGGGGTACCTCTTACTCTGTGCCCATTCGTCACCATTACGTACGTCCTCGCTCGGTTCATAGTTCATGGTTATGGGGACTTGCACATGCAAGTGTACATGCATGTCGGCACAACTCAAAATTAGTGGTTGGATTGCATAGAGGAAAATTTTGCACATGTTGTCTGGCGGTCCACACATCGATCACTAGCAAACTAAAAAGACAACATATACCCATTTGAACAGAAAGTTAAGCACTTTGATTGGACTTAACATTCACATTATCTTTAAACAATAAATTTATTTACATCTTATACCCATGTAATATGCAGGTAAGCCCCTACCGCCGGAAGGCCCACTCATTACCATGCGCAGATGACTATCTTGGCAGGGCCAGCGGCGGATAATAACGGTAGAACGTTGATGCAGAAATGTGATACATAACCGATGTTGATGATGAAGCCCCTACACCAGAACACGTAGTTGCAGATGATCTCCGACCGCTTCACGGT